GATTAAGTTATTAATAACGTAATGTCAAGCTTTTACAAAAGTAACTTACAACTAAAATTAAATCTCAAATCAAATCCAAAAAGCCATTAAATTGCTTTTCAAAGTTTGCTTATTCTATTAACTAAATCGCCGACTTTAATTTGAAACGTTTGTTGTTTTAACGTTTTATTATTCATAGAACCGTAGGTTTTAATTAATCAATCCGATTTCCACGGGAATCACTTGATTGTGTTGTTTTAGGCGCAATCAATTCACAGGGACGTCCATTAATTTTCCTGCGCTTGTAATTTAATTGTAAAAATGTTGGCAATGCTAGATGCATTTTTGCTGCTTTTAGTTTTAACAAATAAAGTTTAATTCAAAACGTTAAAGTAATCATGTGCATTCTATATCAAAATGTATGTTTGCCCCTTATATGGTTGTATTTGCCTGAGCAAAACAACGTAAAGTTGATTCAGAGACTAGTAAGCTTTAAATCTAATACATGCAAAATAATAATATATATGAAATTACACACGAAGACGATAACTTTAGCAACAAAGTGATAAGTAATTTTTAACTTTTCATATGAATAAGTTTGATGAAAATTACAACAAACGAGTTGGAATCCAGCAATGTAAGCTTTGAAGCAGAAAACTTATGAATAAAAAATGAATCTCCTTGGCCCCGTTTGAAAATTAGCATCAAAGAAATTTTGAGTTTTATGTTGAAAATGTATGAACATAAATTAGATTCAGATTTGTGAGAAAAAGATATTTTTCATTTAAAAAGTTTCTTCATTTAATAGAATAAGGAACACTGGAATTCCACTGCCGTATCATGAAAACATGTTGATATCTCTTTCACTCTATATGAAAATAGACAGAGACATAACTCAGATGTCTACGTAATTTATGACCTATGTATATGATTGATCAAAAATCCGTGTCGTTTGTTAGTCACAGTATAAAAGGGTTGACATTTGTTTCGGCTTAAAGGTAATTTAAACACTATTTAAGTTATATTAAAACAAATTTTACAACATGAATCTACAGTTAAAAAATAATTCTTTCGAAAATGCATTAAAAACTTTTATAAGTAACTGTTATAATTATGTGAACATATTTTTCTATTCTTAATCCTTGTAGGACGTGTTCCAAACTTCGTTGCACAATAACTGGGTCGAAGCCTCACATGCACATACAATAATGACGTTATCTGCCTTAGCAGGCAGCTCGCTTCGAAACACGCCTCCATGTTAATTAGCTGTTCTTGTGAAATAATGCTTCTATAAAAGTCATTTTTGAAATAAATAATCTTTTCAACGTCATTATCATCCCTTTTTTACACCAGATTTACAGATGAAGCAATGTAATGTGTGCTATTTAATTTAACATTATGTAACTCGTAGCTACTTCGTAGCACCTCGTAGCATTTTTTTAAGGATTAGTAATTTCACAATTTTCTTAAGGATTTATGTCTTTATGGACATATGGGTACTAAACATAAAGGTCCTGTTTAGCCAAGTAGGTCTGGGAACTTTTAAATAGTTTTATTATGCATTCTTCATTTCTGAATTTTTCTTTCACTTCATCATAACCAATTAATTAACTAGGTTAACCTGTCTCAATTGAGTAAAACTGAAATCGCATTCGGAAACGCGTTTCATGAAGTCATCGAATCAAAAGCACTAACGAATAGTTAAACGTAGGTAAACCATTAGTGGGATAGTTATTATGTCTAATGATGGGTTGCTGAATTTTCTATTTATTTTGTAATTAGGTATTCATTAGTGTTAGGTTAAGTACAGTTTTAAAGGAGTAAAACTCAAGTTACGTAGTTCGGAAACGCATTTCGTTAATTTATAGAACCAATAACATAAACGAATGGTTAAAAATAGCTGGGAAACTGGCCTAAATACACGATCCAAAAGATATAAGTAAGACGGATTAATTTTGCCATGGACCGCCTTACGCAAGTATTTGCGAGGTCCACACCGTTCGGCGTCACAAAGTGTTAGTCGGGTGCGGTAACTGGGTTGTTTACCCTACTACGTCATCATTGTTTACCCTCCGTAGCAAAACATAGCTTACTAATTAATTTATTGTGCTATCTCTTAGACGTAATTATTTCCCTCACAAAAGAGATACCACGAAGACATTGGCAAACATAAACTTGTGCTTATTTCTTATAAGAATTATTATAAACTTGCCTTCATCCGCACCTGCAGCCGTGTGGAAATAAAAAAAAAACAAAAGTAAGTAGCCCATGTTCTACCAGACTTTAAATTTTATAGAGATCCTTTTAGTCGTTAAGGCGGTAAATTCTAACAAACATCCATCTATTTAACCTTCAACATTTAAAATCTTTAAATGTAATTGAAAATGTCTAGTAAATGTTAAGTTCATTTCATTTCCTTTAACATTTGATTAATTAATGTTTAAAAATATCTGACATTTACATCTCTGAAAGGATGACGACCCTTGAAGATCGGATTATAAGGGTCGGAAGGAATAAAGTAAGGGTTTTATTCAATAACACCATGATTTTAATGTTACCACAAGATTTATCGAAATATTTTAAACGATTTTTTATGTGACTCAGCGTTGTTTTAATTTAATCACCGTTGCTTTTTGTTCTTTGATAAAATATAATTCTACCAACAATAACTTAAAATATTCTCAAATTCCATATAATGTAGACTTATTTAAATTTTTCCTTAATAGAAATCTTACTAATGTTATAAATGCGAAAGTTTAGATGGATAGATGTTTGTTTGTTAGAGTTTGTAGACTAAACGGCTAAACGGATTTTGATGAAATTTAGTATAGACGTAGAGGATAGTCTGGAAGAAGTTAGCTACTACTTTTGTTTGTATTTTAATTCCACGTGGACGAAGTCGTGGGCGCAAGCTAGTAATAAATAAATAATCCATTGTACTTTTACCATCATTATTCCATCTGAAAACATTGTAATTAATCTAGATTTCTCCTGTCTAGCTTTGTAAATGTTCCTTTGACAAACTGAAACACGGCAAATACTAAATTCATTTGAAAGGAACATTTTGGAATTATTATCTGTTATCCACAAGCAATAAATAATAGAGAATCAGAGATGAAATTGATTTATTAGTTTATTGATGTTATCACAAGTTATATGCACCAGAGACAAACGTGTGCAGCTGAAAATATTTTAGATTTATAGTTTCAAATATACTCTATTTTATACAAACAAAAAATTACACTCAGTTTTAATATTTATTCGTTTATAAATTAAAATCAAAATGAAATAATCATACTTTCATATCATTCTGGTTGATATTTGACGTTTTTTTAATTATTGTATTTTATCATAAATGTTAACTTTTGGATAGATATTTTGTTATTATTTGCCTTGAAATCGGCTTATTGGATTTGTATGAAAATTGGACAAATGTAGATCTATGTCTGCAAAAAACACAGACTATTTACAAGTTTGTTTTATATTCCACTCGAATGAAGTCGCAGTCAAAAGTTAGTATTTGAATAGTATCGTACATGTTTGAAATAATCCTTTGTGTACAAAAGGCGTAAAATCTGTCGCAACCAAGAGACGCTTGGTTTCTCTCTACTCTAAAATGCACTTCCGTCGGCACTCAGCGTGTACTATGGACCCTCTTTACATATCGATCTAAGAATCACAACGTCTGCATTAACTTTGACTTGAATTTACATAAGCCTTTTGCATTTGATATAGTGATAGTATAAAATTTGTGGCACCTCACAAAAGAAAAACTTCAAAGTCTTACAATAGCTTCGTGAACGTTATTTAAAATTTATAGCAAAAATCACATACAGCCTAAGAACAGTCAAGGCAAATCTGGTTTTAAATAAACTTTGACCCTATTCGAAACTACTTTTACCTAAACAAGACACTATTACATAACCGTGTATTATTTATAGTGTTGAAAATAGCAATGATTATAAAATATTTCATAGCTCGAAATAAAAGAGATAAACCACAATAGTAAACAGCAGAATACAGTAGAACAAAGTTTTTGTTTGAAAGTGGTTGATTGAAAACAAGCTCGGGGCTCTCGGACAGTTTCACAGTCGGTTAATTGGCAACATTCTTTTGAATTACTAAGAGAAATTTCGCTGCAATATTTCTTAAAAATTTTATATATTATTATTATGAAACAACATTTGGTCTAGTATTTACATTATGCCTTAAATTTTAAAATATCCAACGCAATGTTTACCATCCAAAAATAATCGATGTTCCCGTCGTCTTTCCCCCTTCTCTTATTAAAAATGAAATATAAAAACATAACAGATGAACGTCTTGGATTATAGCGTGATGTAATAAGTCGTAATGTGTTTGCAGGTAACAAGGTAGGCGCGATGTGTTGCCTCGGCGATGATAAGACACGCTTTTGTTAACAGCTCCTTTATATGGAACATTCTAGTCTTATGAAATGTAGTTTGAAATTTTATATCACTCAAAGTTCAAACGGTTAACTTAACTAAAACATGTAAGAGAAAACAAGTAAAGCAGTCATTGAAATGAAGACATTTCAACTTAAAATATGAATTTTCCTAATCTCCCATAAAATTGCTTGCTCAATCAATATTTTAATGCTAAAGTCATTAGCGCAGTAAAATAAGTATCATTCTCAATAGTTTTTTATTAAAAAAAACTAGCTGTACCCGTGCGGTTTCATCCGCAATTGTTTACATTTGTCAAACTATCAATAGCAAATGTCAAAGTGACATGACATAACAAACCTTGGCAATCTTGGTTCCTTGATGTTGGCAGCAACTTATAGCCTCTTTTCCACATTAGAGTTTTTATTCAAAATATTTACCCCCTAAGTTTAATGGCGTGACAATATATATCGTAAAGCGTGACGTAAGTGTACGGCTTTTTATTAAAAAGATAATTAATTAATTATTTACGGCTTACTCACGTATGCTTTTGTTTTTCCGGTGACGGCACCGACCAGTTTCAGACCCTGCGGGGGTCCTTCTTCAGGGCGAGAGTTAAGTATGTGTCGCGTTCGCGTCGCGCCTCGCACTGCGGGCCAGCGCTCGAAGGGCGCGGCTTGAGGGGGCGGGGGGCACCGGGGGTGCAGTTGCCATTGCGTGCGCCGGCGGCGACGATGTCGACGAGCTCGATATTGATGAGTCATTGTTGATGTTGTTGACATTAAACGGGGCGCAAAACGTACTGACTATGTCAGCTACGTATTCAACACCATCGTCGTCGTTCTTCTGCTTCGGTCTCAGCAATAAGGGTTCCCACGTAGGAGACAGAGACCAACCCTTGTCTCTGTTGAAATTAGGTCGACGGTTGATTTCAATGGCTTCAAGAAGCTTACGTGACACAAAGTTCTTGTCGCGAGCCAAGACTTTCACACGGTCAAACCTAATGTAGTGAGGTGCTCCAGTGGTAAGGGCGTGCTCTGCAATCGCCGACGTGTTGCTGTCCAGTTTGCGCATGCAACGGATATGCTCGGAGAGCCTGGTGTTAATATTGCGCCCCGTTTCACCAATGTAGCTTTTGCCGCATTCGCACGGAACTTCGTAGACGCCCGGACAGTCAAGGGGAGTGCGGTCTTTCGGCGAACGTAACACTCTCCTTATCTGCGTAAGGGGGCGGAATATTGTCCTGATACTGTACTTGCGTCGTAACAGGTGTCCAACTTTGTCCGTCACCCCTCGCATATACGGTAAATATGCCGGTACTCGCTCCACAATCTGCGGTCGTGTCTTACAAGTTGTGTTTGCTATCCTATAACTTTGTCTCCATTTGTAGCCATTGCATTCTAACACTTTCCGTACGTGTGTCAATTCAGTCTCTAGGAATTGAGGATCGCATAGGCGAAGTGCACGATTAATGAGAGTGCGTGGCACGGACGATAGGTGCGACGGATGGTGGTGGGAGTCCGCCCTCAGGTAACGATCAGTGTGTGTCGGCTTTCTAAACACTGTATGCACCAGGCTGCCACTCGGTTCACGTTTCACTAATACATCCAGGAAAGGAAGGGTTCCATCTTTTTCCTCCTCCGTCGTAAACCGTATTCGAGGATGCATTTCGTTCAGGTGGTCCAGTAGTTGCCCTACGCCCCGTTTGGAAACTATGGCAAACACATCGTCCACGTATCTCAACCAGTATCTAGGTCTAATTGGCGCACAGTTCAACGCTTTTTCCTCGAAATTCTCCATAAATATATTGGCCACAACTGGCGCTATGGGTGAGCCCATTGCAACTCCATCTATTTGTAAATAAAAATCCCCTCTCCAGAGGAAATAGCCAGTCCCGAGGCAACATTCTATTAAACCAAGGTACCCAGGCGGTAAGTTATTCTGAATTAGGTGTTGCTTTATTATGTCAAGTGTTTCCGACACAGGCACGTTAGTGAGGAGGGATGCAACATCAAAGCTGACCATTATCTCGTCGTCTTGGATCTAATAAAAGTCCGCTATAGATCTTCAATTCTACTGTTCCGACTCTTCAGTTATAACTGAGCATGTAGCGGGCTTTACAAATTTAATAAATTTCGCAAAGTTCGCGTGAGAACCAACCATTACAGAGCTACTTTATTATTCATACTAATTTTAATTTTATTAGTGTTTCTTAAAACAGTGTGTTTTATCGTCATGTTTTAATAATGCAAATTTCTCTCTGATGTTACATAAAAAATAGGAAAACACCTATAATACTATTACTATCGCCTGCTATGATTTAATATTTTCAAAGAAATTTACGTTCAAAAGAAAATATTGTTTCAAATAGCAGTAGAACAAGTGAATGAACAAAATAACAAATGAATGAATGAATAAGTGAGCGAGGGAGTGAATGTGGATAACATTAATACTCAACCATTCAGTAAAATTTAAAAACTGCAAACCGAATTTAATCTTACTAATATGATAAATGCGAAAGTTTAGATGGATGGATGGATGTTTGTTAGAGTTTGTAGCCTGAACGGCTGAACGGATCTTGATGAAATTTGGCATAGATGTAGAGGATAGTCTGGAACACATAGGCTACTTTTTTTTAATTCCACGCAGACGGAGTCGCGGGCGAAAGCTAATAAAAAAATACAGTTTTTGTGAACACTTTAAAACCTTAAGAAATTTTGACTAATACCGAGAGCATAATCTTAACTATTTGCATGAATAATTTAAGAATTAATATATACTTAACTGCAAACTATTAAAATGTTAATTAACAAGTGAGCCCGCATTCAAAACTTTACGTTCCTTAAAGTTAAAAGGTTCCACAAGTCCTTTGAAAATGAGATTTATCAAGCATACATTCACTTGGGTAACTTGTTTTTAGAAAAAAATAGGTCAAAGTTCAATTAATAAGTAACTTAAACATAACTCATCAAGAAATAATCGGTTTTAATAATTTAATACTAAAGGATTGCGAATTTCGTAGCAAATTGTGTATTTTTTTTAGTGAGTCTGGCAATTTATTTTATTTTATCTGCTGGAAAAAAAACAGTATAATCAGGAGCAACAATATCTGCAAATAAAATAATAATTATTGAATACTACATTCTTTTTAAAGATAATTATTTAAACTAATTCAGACTTTCACAACAAACATTTCTAAATTCAAGCATAAGACAATTTAAATTTTAAAAAAATGTTAAAAGTTACGCTAAGCAAACAATATAGTAGGCGCGCGCCTTTTTTAACTTAACTTTTAGGCAATTTATATTAGTTCTAAGTTCAAATAAGAGACTGCGATTTATCCTTAACCGTTAAATTGAAAAAGTTGGCGAAATCAATTTAAGGGAAAGCTTTGTATACTAGGGCAGAGTAAATAAAAAAAAGTTTTGTTCCAGTATTCTCAATTAACCTTTAACTTATAAAAATACTCTCGATGTTTATTTAATCGTACTTGAATTTCGTTAAGAAAAGTATAGTTTTTTACTACATGTAATATTAGAAACGACACAGTTAGAAGCAAATCTTTCTTTAATACCTTCTTCGCTTTAAAAAAAAGTAAAATAATTTCTAGATGTAAACAAAATTAGATTATTGGAAGCGTTTCTTATTGATCTTTTAATTAATGTGGATTTCAAAATAGGTAGGTCTAGTTTTAAAACAGATTTACACAAGCAAAATTGATAATTCATTAACTAACTAAAATGACATTAAAACACAACAAAAAACAAAACATAAAGTCTTAAATTCAAGAATAAATGCTATTTAATGTGAAATCAAATTTCTACAGCTGCAGACTATAGAGTCGTACTGATCGTTAATCAAATGTAGTTCCATTAAGAACATATCCTATTCCGTACGTGCCGATATGGTAGCACGTGTCACTGCGCCTGGGATAACAGGACTCCAGAACTAAATGCAACCGCCAACGCCATCTAACGATCAAGCAAAGACACTATCGTTTGAACATTACAAAAACAAGATATTCTTAAAAAAACAGTATGTGAAAAGTAACGAAATAATTCCTTGAATTACTTAAACCTCACTTATTGTAGCTGTTATCTCTATATTGAATAATTAGTATTAACTTGATGTCGGTGTCACCCGAGGTAAGCAGTGACATTTCTACGTAAGACTTTTTTTTACATGAAAATTAACAATTGAACGTATAGTAACGTTTAAGTAATGAATCTACATTGACTGATACCGAGTTCAAAGTAATAATAATTGTATAATACAGACATAATAGCTAACGCAAATAAAATATAAAAAAAAACATACAGACCAATTGAGTACCTCCTTCTTTTGGGAAGTGAGCCAATGAGTAAATGTGCTCATAATGTGTTTTATTGTACACTGAACTAGCCGTAGATCTACTCGTAGCTTTTAGATCTGATTTATAATTTTATTTAAATCGAACTAAAATGTATTAACTGATTTTGGTTATTTGTGATACAATCTTTAAAAACTTGTCCACGATTTTATGTCTCGAAAACAAATCAGCTGAGAATTCCATCATGAACTCTACATGACTGTGTTTGATAAGATTAAGAGTATTATTTCATGGTTCACTCACCACGAACTCTCAGCAAATGGATACGCTACGCTTCAGTAAACCCGTGATTTTTTGCCAAGTGATAAATGTGTCGGACGCATTGAAGCCCTCAAAGAATGGCTAACTCTATGCCAGTCCAATTATGAGAGTAATTGCTGCTATTTATATCATCTTGCACGTTATTAAAAGAAAAATATGAATCAAACATTTCTCAGAACATTTTTCATTCAACTTTATGTATTAAGGTTGTTGCTCGCGGTTTCGTCTGCATGAAATTAAAAAAAATGTTTACCCTATGTTATTCATAGATAAATTACCTTTCTAATGGTGAAAGATTTTTTTAAATCGGCCAAGTAGTTTTTGAGTTATTACAATAAATAAAAAAATATAAATCATTCCTCTTTTTCATATTAGTATTGATAGGTGAGAAATATTGAACACATTAGATTATAGACTAAGCTGGTTTCCGTGCTTAGTTCTAAAAATACACAGAGTAGTATATATGTTAGTACTTATTATGTAATTTCTCCTAAAAAAACTATTGCGCATTAGGAACTTATAAAGAAGTTGTTCCTTTTTTATTTTTCTCTGTTTAGAAAAATTAAAAGACATAAAGAGCTCATTTATGCAATAATACTTTTTACAGGCCCAGAATGAGGTATGCTCGTAAAAAAGAAACAAAAATTCCTAATTCTCAACACTAAAAATGAATTGCGGTGTGGATGTTGTTAAAACGCTGGCTGAAATAAAATTACACTCGGATGGATTACATTCTTTTTATAATCCCAAAGAGTTAAATAGCGGATTTATAAACGGGTGCTGTTTCAAATTCTTTTCATTCCTTTTATCTTGTTATTTTTTTATATTCACAATTGTTTTAATTAATTTCACAGAATACTTTTAATAACTTTTACAGTGTATTATTAGTTTGAAAAATTGCCTCAAAAGGTTTATCAATTACGTATTAATCAGAATGATACATTTTATAGAATAAGCTAATCAACGAAACATCGCCCCACTTATAACTCCAGTTAAAATTTTGTTTTGAACTGACAGCCTAAGCAGAAGGAAATTTTGACCTCTAGTTATCATTCAGATGTTTTAGGTTATATGATAACGATGTTGAAGTGAGAGCCAACACGAGTTAAAAACATTTGCAATTATAAATGTGTCTATCGATTTTTTCTTTAAAACTTATTAAGTTAAAATTATTTTTATAAGCAAGTGTAGTACCAAATCAAAGAAAAAAATAAGTGCCTTACGTCATAATACATGAAGTCGCGTCTGGCGGGACTGACGAGGGTTTGTTCCCAACAAAAGGTTTTTTACTTACTCGAGGATAATACGTGTAATATAGAGGCGGGGCAATTGTTACGAAAACGTTAGCCATTGTAACTGTTGTTGTACAATTATTAAACGCTGTTACACATATAATAAATACAAAAAACTCTATTTCTCTTCGTTAAAATATACAGATTTACTAATCTTAACTTACTAATATTATAAATGTGACAGTATAGATGGATGGATGTTTGTTAGAGTTTGTAGCTTAAACGGTTGAACAGATTTCGATGAATTTTGGCATAGATGTAGAAGATAATCTGGAAGAACATATGGGATGCTCAATTTTTTTCGCGGGCGAAACTAGTATAAAAATATAACATTAAAATAACTCTGTGCTGAAGGATCTTACGGTATATAAAATAATTTTAGACTTACCTTTTATAGAAACATAATTGTTTTTATAATCAATTTTCATGTCTTATCTACAGCAGTAAATAATAAAACAGTAAACGTACTTATTTGTAATTCATAACAGCGATCAAAACAAAGAAGTCTAATACAAAGATATAAAAATGTTTGCAGGCAGTGTATGTGCAGATAAGTGTCTTGCAAATAAGTTTGTTAACATACATCGCAAATAAGCACCTCATTAGACACCTAATTTATTTAGTTAATGCAAGAATATAACATTTAAGTCTTATCATGTTTCCAACTGAAGTAAATAGAAGACGCAATCGAGCTCATTCGAACGTGAAGGTAATTTTACGTAAGTGCTCACGTAGCGAGGTGTTCTCCAATTTATGGTCTACGTTGGATCAGCCCTTTAACGAAAATGCAGCTCACGCAAAATTGAAGCCGAGAATAAAACGGCCAGATGAAATGAATTGAAGTCTATGTAATTAGTTTCTTCAATTTTATTCGTAATATCTTTTAAAATATAATCTTTAGTGGTAATCTATACCAA